TGTCTGTTTGGAGCATCTGATGCTCATATGTACATAAACACCACTGATCCTCACAAACTTCTCCAAAACACGAGAGCATCTGTTATAAAACACTCGCTGTATACAACTACGTGAATATACTGAGCTGTGTTCAAGCAGAAATATGTTTTAGTGAACAGTGCGCCGAGGGCGCACATAAGGTTCGTTTAATAATAATGGACACACCCATGCCTAATACACGACTCCTGTATGACACTGTAATCATCTTTACCTTGATTACAATCGTCATCCATCAAAATATTAGGCTACAAGCATGACACTGGCTTCCAGCCGAGAGCTGTAGTTTGCGTATCATATGCTCATACAGCGGTTTTTATTTAATAAATTAAAAAAATTCGTGAATTTATTATATTTTAGTTTGAAGTTATCTCGCGCTCCCCCCGGTTGAGAACCACTGACCTAAAGCTCGATCTACCAGCATTGCCTTCGTGATCGACCTATTGGGCACCCCTGCTGTAAGTGCTTCCAACTCCATGTATTGGCCATATGAATGTGATACCTAAACAATTTCGTCATACTCCAAGTACTAGAGAGGGATGCAAATGGTGGTATTGACCACTGACCTCTTCTGTAACAGCCCATCTACTGCGCACAGAACAGAAAGGATGGGCATAACTGCCATTGGCATCCTTCTTTCCTATTTGTTATACCTCCGAAACCTGGGTTCCCTTGTAGCACATATGAAAGTGCTGATACAGAAGAGTGGAGTGGGCAATAACACTACTTGTGTCTCATGTGATTACAGAGGGAGCATATTGTTACAACCTTTGCACTCCCAGTACCGGAGAGAGCTACATAAGCGGAAATGAGACACAACCTCCATACTCGGATATAATCATATTCTTTAATCTCCTAGCTCCACAGTGATGCAGAGAGCATTGTGTCAAGCTCAGTGTATGCCACAGCAGAGCCAATCTCTACAACAGTAATTCAACTTTTTTTTTTTTAAGCTGGAGGAGTGAGAAGCATAGGGAGCAGGGGCATAAATTTCGTCTAACAGTAGGGGGGGGGGGACAATAAACATAAAATTTCTCAATAGCAGATTTTGAAGAGGACACAAATAATACAGCTAAAATTGTACTTGTAAGGATATGTATACACAGAGGAATGGCTTACTACTATTAGTGCAGCAGAGACCGTGCCAAATTAGACAACCTAAAGCTGTTGTGGTCACGCCATAACAGCGCTTGTGTCCGTTGTAGACATTACTAGTGTTGCCAAGTCCGCGGTTTCCCTGTGAAATTGGGCTACTTTATCACTGTTGCCGCGGGTTGTTTTTCATGTCCACAGGTTGAAGCGACCCCAATAACGTGTATTTTAGCCCCCTGAACGCGATTTTTACCGGGGGACACCCTCGAAACGTGGATAGTTTGGGCTAGTTTTGAGTAGCAATTGGGCGGATTTTGTCATGAAAACCTGGCAACCCTTTCCCTCAAGCAGGTAGCGTAATTATTGCTAACATAGTGGACTCATTGGAAAATACATTGGCATCATCTGTATTAAAGAGAAAATAATCACTTCATCCGACGTTTAAGTGAATAAAATGACTTTTGACAGCCTACTTACTGGAGTTCCACAACTATTGGCTTTGTTCTCTCTCACCGGACTCGTGTGTGTGTAGGTGATATAAAAGAGGAAAGCAGACATTTGGACCAAAGCACTGTGAGACAAGGGAGGGGCAGACTCAAAATGTTTCTAAACTTAAAATGCATTTTTGCCCCGTTTGTGTTGTTTTACTACTTACACAATTATTTAAAGTGTAAAACATTATGATTTAAAATGCACAGCATGGTTTTTAATCATATTTTTGGGGGGACAACCCTCAGATGGGGGGGTACTGTCACCCCTGACCGCAGCAGCCTCTAGCCAGCAGCCTCTAGCATCAGTCATAGTAATTTTTGAGGCCAGAAGAGTAAGTTTTACCCACACAGCTCTTACTAGTTGGCCTTCATTACACCCATTGTGGTGAGAGCGAGAGGGTTTGAAACCCCACCTGCTCTCGCCTCAGCTGTGACCATACTCTGCACGCTGCCTCTGCGAACATGGGATCAGAGCCACGATGTTGTAGTTCCCTGGCTTCCTTCCCTCAGGAGGACACATCGGAAATTCTCACATCACTCCTAATCTGCTTGCTGTTCTGTTCTAATAAAGAAAATCAGGCAAACAAAGGCAAACAATATCTTTCCACACAGCACATTCAGACATGTGGCTTCCTGAAAACAAAAGAGCTGATGACGTGTTTTTCAGGTGCTCTTTTATAGCCTGCCACAACAGTGACATCATTCTGTTGCCATAGCCAATCAGAAACTGGCGTGTATGCACACATGCTTGAAACACCAGTTCTAGTCCAGTGTTTCCCAAATGTGTCTTGGAGTCCCCCCAGCAGTACACATTTTGTATGACTCTCTCATCTAACAGACCTGATTCATGTTATCAGCTGATTGGTAGAGAATGCAAGACCAGAATTGGGTGTTGTGCCTAGCTAAGAGGTGTATCTGGGTTTGTATATGGTCCTCTTTGAGGGAAATTTGATGCTGCGTCATGGTTTTGATGCTATGGAAGTGTCTCAAGGTGTGACGTGTAGAAACAAGCCAATGATCCTTGGCAGACGGCAGTCCTTTGATGTCACATGGAGTGCCTGTGCACATAAAATAGTGCCTATATCACACATCATCAAGTGAATTAAGTGCATGTTGAAATGAAAAGCAAAAACTCCTTGATACCACGGTCACTCTCTCTGGACTTTATGGCACTGCGGTTGACACACTCTTTGTCCTCCCTCCAGCAAGTCCCTCCAGTTGAGGTGAGATGATGCAACCCCCTTTTGTTCTCAGCTGCCCTCCCTCAGGCACAGCTGGAGGTTCCAGGCAGCAAGTATTGGTCCCAGGGTTTCTGTGGCTCATGGTCACCCTCCTCCTGATCAGTTGGAGGTGTTAAACAGATGAACTTTTGCAGTGAGTGAACATGGTGAGATGATGTAACCCCCTTTGCTTTTCAGTTGCCCTCCCTCCAGTATAGCTGGAGATGTCTGACATAACCGCTTTACAGAAGGAGTGGTCGTGGTGAGATGATGCAACCCCTTGCTTTGTTGGTTGTACTCACTCCATCACACCTGGAGGTTTCACGCCGTAATGACTGCTGAGAGATAACTATTGAAGGAGTGGTTGTGGTGCAACCGCTTTGTTCTTTTTAGATACTCTGCCTCCAGTACTGCTGGAGGTGTTAAGCAGTTGGCCATGAGCAATAGGTATTGATGAGACAATGTGGTGTTTATATCAATATTAATAAGTGTTAGAAAATACCATTTCTCATCAGTCCGCCTCCAGCATATCAGCTGAGAAGTGTTGGGGTAAACGTGATTATTTTGTTTGCATATTTCTTGAAGATTCATGGGGAATGGGTGGGTTAATAGAATGTTGTGGGCACTGAGAGCAGTGCTTGAACCTGTTGAGAATTAGAATCTGTGTTAATATGCTCCTCGTAGGGGTGGTAAAGCTTAGCTCTCCTTCAGTGTAAACTGGAGTATGATGCACACTTGCACGTTTCTATACGCAGTGGCAAAATACTTTGTTTTCTCCTGATGGCCAGATGTTGAAGTAAAAATTTGGGATAGGAGGGCGGTTTGTATGTCTGTGGACGTCCTGCTCCCTTCACCTGCCCCTCCAGCGCTATGCTGGAGTGATACTATTGACATTTATGGTGCTTTTCCACTGCGTGGTACGACTCAGCTCGGCACGGCTCAGTACGGCACGGCATGGTTCGGCTCGGCACGGTTTGCATTTCCACTGCAGTTCAGTACCGCTTTAGAGTGGGCGGGATTATTCACATGTCATTATAGTTGCGCCGCCTCTACTACCACGACTCCTAAAAAAAACTTTTTCATTCCGCATCGCCCCATCAAGCTCTCGCTGGATCCGCTCCTCTGCTATCAACGAGAGGAACGTGTGTACTTCCGCAACAAGTACCAGGTACCAGGTACTGTACCCAGTGGAAAACCCCCCAAAAGTGAACCGTACCGAGCCGTACCATGCTGTACCATGCAGTGGAAAAGCGCCATTAGTCTGCCTTTTCCCCTATTGGTCCATGGAGTAGTATGGCTGACAGGGCATCCTTCTTTAGTAAGAGCTATGATGGGCAGATAGCGAGAGCATGTCTTTTTCATCACTCTCCCCTATTATTACTCTTCCCTAGGCTTTAAAGTAAGGTTATACACTCCCCTGTGGAAGGGTTGCTTTCAGTTGCCTCTTTCTAAATGGGGCACCACTCACATAGTTTCCACTCTTTCTGTTAGCTTGTTTTTTTGTTTTTGTTTGTTTGTTTTTTTGTTGTTGTTTTCTTGAATACCAAATTTCAAACTAATCAACACCACATTGTTTATTCTTGAAGTGAACTTTTGCAAGTTTGTTGATTAGATTAACTGTTTTGGACTGATGTCTTGAACCGATACCTGTGAGTTGTCCTAGCCGTGACGTGACAGAGCACTGCATTTCTTGTCCTGTGCGCAACAACCTTTAGGCGCATCTCCTTCAGAATAAAGTTTATTATTACGTGTGATGTAAGGCGCCCCTTTTTACGCACAGGCGCTCCATGTGACGTCATAGGACTACCGTCTGCCAATGATCATTGGCTTTTTTCTACACGTGCTTCGGATGCCGGTCACACCTGCATGCCTTATCGTAGTGTAAACACCATGACGCAGTGTCTTGTTTCCTTGTCAAGGAACCGGGTTATATAGCCCTAAATGTTTTATTTATTTCGTCAGAAGGTCTTTGATCTGCCTGGTCACATCTGTTTTTTCTTGGCATTATCAGCTGTTGCTAGGCCTGGTCCTGTATCCTGTTTGGTTATACTCTTCTGCAGAATGTCTGTTCTGCATGATTATTTCTGATTACTTGATTTTGCTTAAATTTATTGATAATATTTTTCAGTCTTCTAACTTATGCTTTCTATTCTTGACTCAGAGACTTCCTGTTATCTTGTCATGCGACTGCCATCCAACCTTCCTTGAAACTCTCTGATTGTTTGGTTGAGTTTGGAGGGACAGCGGTGGGAGACCGGACCACTGCAGTATTGTATGTGGAGAATATCAGCGCAGGGCCTGAGGCTGCAGCCCGGCTCTTCACCTTCTCTGTTCCGGAAAACTCTGACATCACCATCACACCTACTTCAGGAAGAGTTCTACCTGGACAGGTATCGCTAATGACTTCTGCAGTTTACAATCTGCTTTATTATCTTGTTAGGCGAGATCAGAGCTTGCTGTCACATTTTGCTACAGTGAATATTTCTCATAGAAGGTTTATTTTTGATAGTCATATTAATATAGACATATACCTTAATATTTGGACACAAAAAGACTTAAATATTATTTAACTTGGAAAAAATACAGTTCACTGAACACTAAAATAGGTAAGTACACTACTGACCAAAAGTTAGAATAATTATATCAAAAGTTAGAATAATTAAGACTTAATGTCTCTGTTTACAGATACCTTCATTTGAAAATACAATAAACAATGATATTGTGATATTATTACGATTAAAAATTTCAGCGTTCCCATAGCATCAACATCATAAGACAATAGCTGTGTCCCAAATGACGCACTATACACTATGCACTTATACACTATGTACTTGTGCACTATGCACTCAATCATGTAGTGTATGAATTATAAATGGTTATTTTGTCATTCATAATCGGAGTATGGTAGCCCCTCACCCTTCGCTATGTAATTAAAGCTGTGACAGTTGATTGCATGAAGTGTCCAACATTCCACACTTCATTTTTTTGGTTATATAAGTGCATCATCCGGGTATTTAAAGTGCACTTTTTCTTTTTGGAATATTCAGTGTGAACGCACTACTTGCACTATTTATACTACAGACCGTCATAGAATAGTGCATATGTACGCAATTAGGGACGCACCTAATGTCTAATTGTGCCCTCTTTGATTACATATGTAAACTGACATGATTTCTGAAGAATCATGTTGAGTAATGGCTGTTGAAAATCCAGCTTTGACATAACATAAATTACATTTTAAACTATATTCATTCAAATAGAACAGATCATTTAAATTTTAAACAAAAAGTACTGTAATTAGTGGTGTAAAAAATGTAAAATATGTTTCAGTTTTCTAAAACATGACACACCCATATAAGGAAAAACACTGTTCACTATATGATGTAGGATTTGAAAGGTTTCATTGTGTCTCACACACAATGAAACCTTTCAAATCCTACATCATATAGTGAACAGTGTTTTTCCTTTTGTTAATTTATGTCAGTGCAGTTTTTATGATTTTATCATATTAATTTGATTGCTTTTATTTTATGTATTTATTTATTTTAATTTACCCAAAATAGTTTATGAACTAGATGTTTGAAACCAACATAGAGAAAATAAACAAATGAATGGATGCTTACGGATTTTTGGCAGCATGAATGGAATGGATCTCCCTTATAGTTTGCCCTGAATTTTTTTTAATGAAAATAGACTCAGCTCTGTTTGTTTCAGCATCCATTTGTGTGCCTTCACAGAAGTGTCTGGTCCAGGTTACATTCAGCCCAACACTGTCTGATGACGTCATCAACACAGAAGCTCTACACTGGAGAGAGGAATTTCATACTGACACCAGCAACTGCCAACATACAGAACCTGATGCCAAAGTAAGGAGCATCACGATGTCCAGTACAATCATGCCACTTCTTACACAACATACAGCATTAACAAGTGTTGAACAGTAACTTCCCTGCTATCTTCATTCTTTTATAGAGCAAAATAGAGGCCCCATTGCTTTTGGTAAAAGATCATGGCAGCAAAGTGATGCCTGCAAATGGCAGCCCCTTCCATTCCCCAAGCCCAGCAGATATTCAGGCAGGGTACGCAGGTCAAGCAGTCTGTGTTTTATGATATTGCCATAAGGGTCAGGGGACAGTTGAAAATATGATTATGTTTATATTGTTTCTTCACAGCTCTTTTGAATATTTGGCTGTAAAGGCTTCACTATTGCACTCTTTTACTGAGCGTCACGTTCGCTATGTCATATCCTGCTTCAACTCTTCATCAGACTTAGTGCTGGAAACATCAGAGGAGCCCAGATACAGGTGACGTGAGAATAAGATTTTGAGAGGGACTGATACATAAAGCATGTTTTTTCCTTCAAAACCTCTTCAGATGTTCAAAAATAAATTTAAGGTTCACAAAGTATTTTTTTATGCTGTAGTGCTGTAAAAAGTGTATCATTAGATTTTCAACCAAAATCTATGAATGCATAAAAGTGACCATTCATAAACAGAAAACTCAGTGAGATACATCTTCGATTTATCAATTAAAGAAGGTTATATAGCACCCATTGCCCCTGTGTAAAGCTGCCCATACACTCAACAACTCTCAAAGTCACTGGATTGCATCTATTGGGAATCAGGGACGTATCAATGCTTTTCTCAGATCATATATTTTACAATTCAGTGAGCACACTGTAGTTCTCTTTCTAAAGAAACTTTGACACCTTAACAGATGTAAGATGTTAGCCTTCCTAGTTCTTTGAATGGGGTTTGAAGCAGGGCTGTGCTCCCTGGAGCAGGATTATGCTCCTTTATGCTTATCTGTAAGGTTGAGCCTTGACAGATGGATGCTGTCACCCTACCCAATTCGTTGACTGGGATTTGAAGCAGGGTTTTGCTCCCTGGGCAGTTTTCCCTAGAGGTAGAAATAGACAGATGAAGTTGTATATATAGTTAATAAAATAGAACTATGCTCCTCTGTGTATGTCTGTAAGGTTGAGTTTGACAGATAAGGCTGTCACCCTCCCCAATTTGTCGACTGAGTGTTAAAATAGGGTTATGCTCCCTGGCAGGATCACACAGGTGAGATTTTTTTTGGTTTGTATTCACTCTCTGTCCACAAAGGCAAGGGGCATCAGGCCACAGATTTGTTTATTTGGGCCACCAAGGAGACGGCCTGTGCCATTGGCTGCTCTATGGCCATGAAGAGGCATCTCTAGTTAAATCTCTCTGGCATTAGGGAAAGGGACAAATCCTTCCTCCTGGCCTCTTTGGCAATGCAGTCAATTTTGTCACAAGTTTCAGCAGGCCAAAAAAACAAGCAGCAGTGTTCCAGAGGTTCATCCCTCGCCAAACCCAAGTCCTGGGGGCTGCTGCCAGAAAGCCCAAGCCATCTACAAGCTCCTCTTGAGCCCCCTCAGCGAAACTGGAGATCAGAGACAGGAGGGCCCTCATCCGTAAAAGAAACTCTGCTTAATAATTATGCACACCTGAATATAAGACATTTTTCACTTCCAGCCTTCAGGAATAATTATATATCAATTCTAAATGATTAAATACAAGATTAATAGATATGATCTTTCGCGCGCAGAATTGCGGCAGAAATGTAATTCCATAAGAGCTCACTGAACTCAAACTTGTTGTGCAGCACACATCAGACACTCTATCTGGAGTTGCGCTGCCCAGCCATCAAACCAGCATTACTGCTCATCTCTGACAGTGGACACAACACCATCCACTTTAATCAGGTGGCAGTAGGTAATAAACATTTGACTATCTACATAACTGTTGATGCTGTTTCTGCTTTTATCTTTCCAGTTCACTTGCAATTGTTTTATCCTTGTAGGTCAGAAAGTGTTAAAAAAATTGGTAATCCAGAACATTTCTTCAGAGACTGTAAAGGTATCTTTCTCAATCCTTTTACCAAGTACAGTAACATTGTCCTTCTCTACATAACCTTATCACCATTTTATCATATTATCATGTCCATTGATGCAGCAGCATATTTACAGTATATACTTCTAACAGCAGCATGCACATATAGTGGCTTGTATCGTTCATCTTCTTTCTCTCCAGCTTGTGGCTGCCATCTGCAGTCACTGAGCTTGCTGCTCAACATTTAAATAATTTGGGTCAATGTTTGCTGTAAGCAAGTCTTGCAGAAACCCTCTACCTCCCCTAGCTTCACCTGTCTTGATCTGCTACGGGTAATTTCATGTATATTACTGGCAGTAGCAAGTCTCTAAAATATGAAATCATATCAAAGTCACCATGATATGACCATTCCTTTATGGGAATTTTGCTGTGTTTATTATAAAATGCACATCATTATATATTTATTTATTTGTGCCTTTATAGTAATTAATCAAAAACATTAATGTGCCCCACGTTTTTTCTTATTAAAAAAGTCCATTTCACTCTCATATACTGTATGTCAAAATAGGACAGAAAAGATGGTCACAGTTTCCATTTCATGCTAAATTTAAGTAATTATCTGGTAGGTATTATGTAATTATATTAATTTTTTTATATGATAGGTATGTTCTAGATTCAAAGTTAAACTCTATCAACAACATTTGTGGCATGATGTTGATTATGAAAGAAAATAGTTTCAACTCATCTTTAGTTTTAAAAACAAAATCAATACATGGTCTAGGCAATAAACTTTATAATGCAGTGTCGAAAACAACTTTCACACAATACATGTAAGGATAAACCACTTAAAGCACTGTTGGCATGGAACAAACCCTACCCACAGGAATTATATCAGTAATATATTGACCTACAAAAACAATCCCATTTCAAAAATGATAATTCAAACAAATGTACAGCTAAAATACAAGCATCACATTTCTGCTGTTAACCTGTAGAATTTCATTTTCAGTGTATTCACTGTAAAAAAAAAAAAGTGTTTGAGAATTATCAGTTTTAACCTGACTTTTAGCTGACATCATCACTGCTGGATGTGACTGGGCCATTTTCTGTGCTGAATGCCATGCGTTTCATCGGTCCTGAAGATACACACATGATCCTGATCGCATTTACACCCTCTCTGGCCAAGAAGGTAAGCACTGCTGCCCCGCTTCACTGTTAGACAGTTACTGCCCCCCATACACAGATTATAGCAAAAAGTGTTTCATATTATTCTCAGCATCTAAATTTAAGGCTCTGCTACACCAGCTGATTATAAAGTAGAGATAAGTAAATGTAGATGCTGGATTAAGTCTTTAATTTTAGACAGTGTGCTAATAGTTACAGAGAAATAGATGTAAATATATTGATTAAACATGCTGTATTTAAAGGAATAGTTCACCCAAAAATGAAAATTTGCTGAATAGATTAATTTTTTTTCATCAGAACAGATTTGGAGATATTTAGCATTGCTCAACAATGGATCCTCTGCAGTGAATGGGTGCCATCAGAATGAGAGTCCAAATACATGATAAAAACATCACAATAATTCACACGACTCCAGTCCATCAATTAATGTTTTGTGAAGCAAAAAGTTGCACGTTTAGGTGAAAGATACATCATTGATGTTTCCTGGGTTCATCGGGTGTTTTGGGTCTTTCAACATGATATACCCTCACCCAGGTGACCCGGCCTAGGGGTGATCAAGCCCCGACCTGCGACCCAGCAGCATTTGGCCACGGATCACCCCTTTTTATCCACGGCCATCTTGAAGCTCTTTCTGCAGCCCCTGTTGCAAGTCTAATGGCTGCTCTCTTCTGGGACCCACTTAACCCCAGCGCAGTGAATGCTCTGTAGAGGGAGCGGCCAGCAAAGCCACTGTATCCAACCCCCACAGGGTAACCACAAGCTGTATGAAGAAGAGCTGCTGGAGCTTTGTCCTGCGGTGTTAGCTGCTCTGCTTCTTTCACAAACCGTATTTCCTTCCTAGCTCGGTGATGGTGTTTACTGTTTGCAATGGCCAAGGAGACTCTCTCCATTACTGCCTTTAGATCCTAGTCATGCCACCAGCGGTAGAGGCCATACCCTAGAGCATTTGGGCAGCAGCTCAGGATGTGCTCTAGTGACCCTTTTCCACTGCAGAGGGAGCAGGAAGGGTATCTACCTTGCCCCAGAGCTGGAGGTTCGCTGGTCTTGGTAAGACATCATAAACAACATGGATTGTTCTTTGCTTGCCAGATATCAGACCACGTGAGCCTCCGTTCCATTGCACCTTCCCATCTCATCCATGCCCTTTGTTGCCTCATGCCTGCCACCTTGCTTATGCAAATGTCCTCCACTGTCGCCCTAACTTCCTTCTGCACAAGGTATCTCCTTTCCTAGCCCCGTGCTTGGCTGTAGTTTGGCATTGGGAAACTACCAAGCCCTGCTCTTCCACAAGCCACTGCCCCCACCATGGCCTTGTGCCTTAACCTAGACCATGAACTCCTCTGTGATGCTGCTGAAAGAGAGCTGCAGGGTGTTATTTTTCCCATATGGAGCTGTGGTACTCAAGCTACGAGGTAGACCGAGCCATCTATGGAGATAGCTGCTAACTTTCCTCTCCATTAGCGCTTCTGATGTAATCAGCACTTCATATACCAGCAGAGGCCATAGAATCCGTGGAAGGATGCCATGCTGGTATATCCAGCACTTGAACTTTCCAAGCAGACCAGATTTATCAACCTTGTTGAGACATGTCTCAAGCTCACTGATAGATGACTGGATAGCAACTGTATCTCAGAGGCTGTGGTCAAAGAGCTTTCCGAGATTCTTCACTGGCTTCTCACTAATGAATGGAATTGGGGTGCCCTCCAGCATAAAGCGGAGCTTGTCTGTGACTTTGCCTTTCTTCAGGACAAGTGTTCTGGATTTGGCAGGCTTGAAGCTCATTCTTGTCCACTTGATGAGCCTCTCCAGTCCTTGAAGTATCCATCTGCTGCCCGGAACAGAAGATGTTGGAATTGTGAGGTCATCCATGTAAGCTCTTATCGGTGGTTGGCACACCGCAGACTTTAACAGTGGGCCTCTGCACTCCACCTCAACAGCTTTGGCAACCATGTTCATAGTCAGTGCAAAAAGGATTACTGAAATTGTGCATCCAGTAATAATACCCTTCTCCAGGTGATGCCAACTTGATGTTACAGACCAAGAAGTGACTCTCAACCTGAAGTTGTTATAGTAGTCCAGGGGTGCGTTTCCCAAAAGCATCGTTAGCCAACTATGGTCACAAGTTCCGTCGTTACCAACTTAGTTCAATGATTCGGTGTTTCCCGAAACCATAGTTCAAACGAACATTCGCAAACAGCGTCGCAAACTTACGTGGTAGGAACTACAGCTCTCGACCTGTGGTTAGAAGCAGAGTTTCTTGTTAGAAAGACATATGGACTTAAATAAATGATGTTCTTGGGCACAATAAGCAAGCTAACATGCAGTACAATCTATATCTTCCATTCAATTGAAATATATATACATTTTAATCGATACATTTTAGCGTGTCCTCAATAAGTGCCGTTTTTGAAGAGTGCTGCATAAATGCCTAAGGGAACCCCAGAGTATGACGTAAGAGGTTTCCCGCGATGAATCAAACATAAAATAAAGCAAAATGACAGGGAACAAAACATAGTAAATTAGTCGTCAGGTGCCATGTTGAACACAGCAGCCTCTCAGAGATCTCGAATCAATTAATTAGCAGAAGTTATTACTCCACCACATGCGTCTGACGTCATTAACAACAGCCCTAAATTGTTGGAACTAATGTGGTTCAAACAACGGAGATGCGACTGTGTCCAGGAAACAGTCGTGACTGGCTAGTTAGTTTCCACAACAATACATTGTACTATGGTGGTTAATCAGTGAGTTACGGCGTTGTACGGGAAACACACCCCAGGACGAGGTTCGTGATCTTACTGAGGATATGGCGCTGATTCAGTCTCTACCAACTTATGTGGTATGGACTCACATACATTGACCAAGTCAAGCCACAGCACAACCAGTCCCTCCTTTCTGCACTGATTTATCAATGTAATTATTCTTGGAAATGTGATTGTGAATAGATCAACCAGAAAACTTTCCACTCCCATCAGTGCATTTTTGGAATTGCGCTTTCGTGCTAATTTGCCTTGTTTAGTAAACAGGCTACAAACCATTGCAGTCAGTGTAATGAATGTTATGACCATCTTGTCTGAACAAGGAGAGAAATATGCATACAGTAGATAAAGCATCATTTATGAGTAAAAACAGTTCTAAACAAACATCTTAGTTGTTTTTGATGAGAGAGGACTACAGGGGATGGACTTTTCACTGAAGGAGGTGTTATTATGGATTATGTACTTGTATTTATGCCAGAAACGATGGTTTGAAGTTAATTGTCTTTATAATCGATTTGCTTCTTACAAACACACAGCTTTTTGCTTCAAAATACTTTAATTGATGGACTAGAGTCATGGGGAATCACTTGGGAATTACTGTGTTGTTTTAATAAGCTGTTTGGACTCTCATTCTGACTGCACCCATTCAGTGCAGAGGATCCATAGTGAACAAGTGATTTAATGACAAATTTCAGCAAATTTGTTTTAATGAAGAAACAAACTCATCTACATCTTGGATAGCCTGAGAGTGAGTACATTTTAATTTTACACAAACTATTCCTTTAAATATATATGATTGGCTGAATCTTACAAAATCTACAAGAAGAATTGCTTAAATGCCTATTTTACCCCAAATTGTTACTTTACTCAACAACAGTGTTCTAAAAACTGAAAAGTTTATTCTTTGCATTTTTGAAAAGTTTCACGTATAGACATCAGTGTTGTTAAAACAAAACCCATTCACATGAATCCGCGACAATGACTAAAAATGCTGTTTTAGGCAAGTAGTTCGCTATGTCACTTTGTAAAGAAATGCTACACTTCTGCGCACATACCTATAGACCGAATACGTAAGTACATGATATCACTGTTTTCTCAAATTTGCATTTTCAGGCCCCCAAAACACCGTTGTGTAAATTTAGTTGAAAACAGTGTTGTGTAAAATGCCCCCTAAATATCTTTTTCCCCCTTAAAATTCTTATCATCATTAGGCAAAAACATCTCTATTTACCCGTTATTCTCATTATTGTAATACAAACCATCTTTATTTGGGTTGACATATGACCCAGGCATTTTCTGAACAGTTTTTGTGAGATTCAGTAGAACACTACAACAACACACCAAGATCTGTATTTCCCCAAAACTGTCACGGAGCTGATGCTAATATTCATATTATAAAATAATTTTTTGTTTTGTCAGTACTATGAAACACTGGAGGTGAGCTGCAGTCAGATGTCGCTGGAGCTCGCATTGTGTGGTGAAGCTGTAAATCCCAATATCACCTGCTCAAATGAAGGACACATTAACTTTGACTATGTTCCTGTAAATGAGAGTGCCTCACAAGTGTTCAGGGTATTGAATCTACATTGCCATGTCTTTGTGCACAAATGTCACATTCAAAACATTGACTGAGGAATTAGCAGATGCCTTCACTTTTGACAGACAATGCATTATGTACAAAAACACAGTTATCAAATTATACATTCTCAGAAAATATTTGCAAAAATGGTACCTTTAAGGTTACAACAGCTTGTCATTGTACTATTAAAAAGGACATTTTTGTACCTTACCCCTAAAAGGTTAATAGTAGTACCCTAAGGTACATACAGTATCTCTAAGGTATAAATATGCTACTTTTAGGGGTAGATAAAGTACAAAGTTTAATGGAAACTGCCCGCTGTTGTACTGCTAAAGGTACAGTTTTCACATTTTTTCTGACAGCGTAAAATGAGCCATGATAGGATAAATAGTGTCAAATTCATACTGCAGTTCAACACTAGAGGTCACTGTCACCGTAGTATAATTCTGTTGACTGTGATTCTGTGCAGTTTTACAAGTTATTTCTTGTTTATTGTAATGGGTTCCTTGTTTATATTCTTCCCTTAAGTATATATTACTGGTTGAGGAGTGATTAAGGGATTTGGCCTGTAAAATATCCAGTCACTATTGTGGCCTTGACCAAACCCTAGTACTGTATGTAGTGTAAGTCACTCTAAACACAAGCATCTGCTAAATGAATGCATTAAAGTGATCAAAAATGACAGTGAAGATATATTTATAATGGTACAAAAAGTTTTTATTCTAAATAAATGCTGTTCTTCAAACAAGACATGCTTCGTAAAGTAGCACCGAAATGGTGTAATTATAACATGAAAGATTACTGGTGCATCAAATCAGCATATTGGAATGTTTTCTGAAGGACCATGTGACACCTGAAGAATGGAGTGACGGCACTGCAGAAATTAATGCAGCTTTGGTGGCCATAATGTTCTTTCGAAAACATTCATGTACTGAACTTTGGAGCAGTAGTGTATTTGCAAGATATGGATTGTATACATGAATTTGGTAACAAACTGATGGATTCTCTCTCGGGTGTATTTAGCTGCAGAACATGTCCTCACTGGATGTGCAGTTCAGTGTGCTGTTAGAAGGCCACTGTCTTACAGAACGGAACGACCGGATACAGTCGGTCATGGACTCCACAGTACATGTGGGTAAGTTACAGGCACACACACTGAGGTCTCCTCTCCTGTGGAATACAAGCATGTGACTGCAGATTTTGAACCTGAGAAACATTCACCCAAAAAATGTAAATTCTGTCATCTTTTAATCAGCCCTTTTACCTTTGTGCAACACAGAATGAAATGTTTAGCAGAATGTTGACACTGCTCTTCTCCATTTAATTAAAGCAAATGATTAGGTCTGTAAAAAAAGGACTCATGCCCTGTATTACAGTGCTTCCCAACCATGTTCCTGGTTTCTTGTGTGGTTGGGAACCACTGCTTTAATACATGTCTTCTGAAGTCATATAATACTTTTGTGTGAGGAACTAACTTTGTAAGATTTTCTTTGCTGACAAACCTTTCCCTCAGCCATAGCAGAGGATAATTCGTACTGGTGCCTATTCAGACTGGAACAACATGAGGCTCAATGCCTAAATGATGAACTCCTAGCAACCTTAACATGACCAGAACATGCTTATTTACTGGCATATACATGACCTTTCTGCCTAAATGTATGAAATCATCAATTAATATCATCATCCACCCACCCTCTCAGGTCCTCAGAACTACAGTGGGATGAGTGTGTTCCACGTGTCACCGTCAGGAGGAGCTATTACTTCTGCAGGAGCGCTTGACATCACTGTGACCTTCCATCCCGATCATGAGAGTCTCCGTTACAGAGATGTTCTCACAGTGCAACTCATGAACAAAGTTAGACACGTTCATCGACACATGAGGCTACTGATTGTATAATATTGACCCTCTAACACTAGAACTCTCTATTCTATTTCTACTTTATCTACTTGTTTTCTATTTATTTATTTAAAAAAAGAACTTGACCCTTTAACACCTGCTCTATCTATTCTATCTCTTTTATCTACTTTTTATTCTGTTTATTTATTATTAAAAAAAAAAAAAAAAAAAGAAAAGAAAAAAAACTTGTTACATGTACTGCATTAGATTAACCGGGACTTGTCACAATACTTATATATTGCTGCTGTTTTGTTGTTTTGATAGCTACTTTTACACTCATTTGTAAGACACTTTGAAAAAAGTGCATGCTAAGTGATTAAATGTAAATATATAGATTAAAATAATTAAAATAAACAGCAAAAAATGTTACTAAATATGTTACTAAATAACAACATGTCTCACTGGGCAAAATTGCATGCACATTTGGCTAGTGGTGGGTATTCATTTCCCCACCTGTTAACAATATAATTATGAAATATGATTCTTAGACTATGTCTACATTAATCTGGATACATTTGAAAACAGTGTTTTCATTTCAAAAAGCTCTCTCTTACTGCTTATGCGTAAAACGTAATACGCATACGTCAGAGAGACCAGACGTAATAAAATTCTTCTGTCACGATCAACACTTACTGCCCTAGTAAAAAGTAATATATTTAAAAAACATTATACAGTGGTGTGAAAAAGTGTTGGCCCCCTTCCTGATTTCTTATTTTTTTGCATGTTTGTCATTAATATATTTTCATACTAAGTATAGTTAAAATCTATTAATATATTTACTGACATATTGCTCGAGACTTACTGATATAAAAATTATAATTAACTTTATTTGGAGTACTACTTGTGCACAATGCACATTTCTTAATATTAAGTCTAAAATGTGTTTTAATATCACTATTGATGAGGATTGTGTGATCTTTGAATAATAAAGGTCTTTAAATGCAAGATATTTAAAAAGTACCTGAAGTATACCTGCAATAGCTCCACTTTAGCACAATCAAATATACTTCAGTATATCTTTAGTTGGACTTCAGCACTACTTCCGCACAATTAAATAGCATTAGGTACAAAATTAGTTGTTCCCATTTAGCAGACTTTAAGTATACCAGTTTAGTATGCTAAAAGTACAATTACAGGGTAATTCTTTTTTTTTTGTAAAATTTTTTACAATTACAGGGTATTTTTTTAAGTACATAAATATGTAGATGTATTTTTAATATACTTAGCATGAAATGAATGTATTTCAAATAGATTTTAGTATATGTATTTTTCACTAGGGTGGTGCGTTCACTCAATCATCATTTCATGTGTGATCTAAAACACTGTTTTGCCCCAGGACAGCAATTCCAAGTAAATTTCCTGTCATCTTTGCAGGAATGTGATATGAAGATTATACAAAGTAACATATCTCTAGCAACACCGTGGAAGTGATTAGCACATAAACAGATCTATCAGTGTAATATGCTTTACATGACTTAACATGCTTCATCGTTTTCAAACACCTTCATGTTCACATTCCTCACCATAACACAAAAACAGCATTTTCAAATTCATCCACTTCAAAAAGTTTTCACAGGACCAAACATTGCCTCAGTGTGGACGAACGGCAAAAATGTAGAGAAAAATCCTTTTTCAAATGTATCTAGATTAGTGTACACATAGCTTTAAAGTCTGTTCAATTACATAGCATGCTTCATACACAGCAGTTGTGATGTTTTGGCAATGTTTTGGCAGCATAAATGAGTTTTTTTGTTTGTGAATGTACCAATAGCAAACGGTGTGTGCGCTGGAGCTCCGGGGTTCTTCATGTCGACACAATATGTTTGTCTGTGGTGGGGATCCAGTAGACGTCTGTTCTGAATCACTCATCCCATCTCATATATACACATCAGGACTCATGAAACATGAAGGTACTCCTTTTTTTTAAGCATAGTCATGCTAAGGTTCAATTTTCTTCTGCAACCCATCAAACTACATTTAATATGTTTAACTTCTAAAACCATAAGGTGATGTGTGTACTTCCAAGTGTTATGCTTGGTGTCATGTTGTCAGACGTCTGAATAATGGCACAAAGTCTGGTTCACATTGCAACTTATTTTAGCTCACTTAGGACATTTTTTTTATTTTTGTGTACTGTCTGGGTCAAGTTGATCTGAAATGATCGATAACACAATAATAATGATTGCGAGAGTGATTATAAACCTGCGCATGCTGTTCATATGTACTACTAATTTCTGCACCACTAGGCAGCACTCTTTTTAAAGAGATTTCTTAAACACCCATGCCTTTTGCCCTTGGTTAGACATTCAGGTAGTCCTGCCCAAACTCACAGCACTTGTTGAACTAGAATTTTAACAGAGCAATGTATTATTATTTTATATATGTATTTTTATTTTATTTATTTATTTATTGAGCTGATTGTTATGCTTGATTTCAGTGTCTTTGTCATTCTGTCACAAACTTGCACATATGTAGATAGCAAGCGTTTGCTACTGACACTCAGGAGTGAATATCAAGAGGGCAGAGCAATCGTAGCCACACGCAGACTTCACGTCGGATGTGTCTACAGCACAAAACCAACCACAAAAAAAGTAAGTAAACCGTTCAGCACAGTATCATCTGAAGCCATGTTTCAGTTTAATTTGAACCGGTTCATGCTGAGATGATTGAAAACAGATCAAGAGTTTGATCCCCTCTTCTGCACTCTGTTATCAGACGGTTGAGTTTACCTGGGAGAATATCTCACCTGTTGAGCAGCAGGGCTTCAAAGTGGCACCAATGCAAGGAAGTGTGGATGCAGGACATAGATGTCCCATCACCATCTCCTGGATGCCACCTAGTGGTCTCGCTGTGAGTACTGAAATCTTAGTTTAAACGGTTAGTTCACCCCAAAAATGTGAATTCTGTCATAAATTACTCACCCTCATGTCGTTTCAAACCCGTAAGACCTTTGTTCATCTTCGGAACACAAATTAAGATATTTTTGATGAAATGTGAGAGCTCTCAGACCCTCCCATAGACAGTAATACAACTGTAATGTTCCCAGCAAGGTTATTTTCGTAAACTAAAACTAAGACGAAAACGATTGGTCAAAAAACATTATCGTAAACTGAAATAAAATAAAAACATCAAAATAAATGAAAAACTAAAACGAAACTAAACTAACAACAGTTATTGCAAAACTAACTGAAATAAAATAATAATTATCAAAAATAAATAATCGTTTTCTTAATCATTATGTTCTCACCCTGTGGTGGAAAAATATATGAGCTGTGTGTCGTTACGCTGCAAATCGAACATTAAGGCATTATTATTGAATTTCATAAGTTCCACTTATGATTTATGCGCGTTTGTTTGCGGGAGAGTGAGCAAGACACGACAGTTATGGTATCATGATTATGGTTAAATAAAATGAAAGACATAATATAAAGAAATTAGCTACATTTATTTTCAAATTAAAAATCACAACATGTATCATTCAGTGCGTTTTAAATATGATGTAAGCGCAACTTGTGTAGATTTAAAAAGGCATGACTGCTTCATTTTGACGTGTATTTGTATACTTTTACCATCTAATCAATCTCAGCATGATTTAGTCCCTAGACATTTGCATCACTAAGGTTAAATTAGCCTAAGCCTTTCTTGGCCTGTGCTCTGGAAGTGATCTGTTAATTCTGCTAAACTTTAATCAGCCTAATAAAACTAAAACTGAAACTAAACTATATAAAAACTAAATAGAAACGTGTTCACAAAATGAAAACTAAACTAAAACTAACAAAATTATTAATGAAACTAATAAAAACGAAACTAAATTTTATTGCAAATTTGAAAACTATATTAAAATAAAACGAATTTAAAAATGCGAAACTATAATAACCTTGGTTCCCAGGTCCAGAAACGTAGCAAGGACATCGGTAAAATAATCCATGTGACATCAGTGGCTCAACTACAGTTTTGCAAAGCTACGAGAATACTTTTTGAGCACAAATAAAACAAAAATAACAACTTTATTCAACGATTCTTCCCCCCTTAGTTACGTCTTCTGCCATTTTGGAGAATACTGCAACGCATACGCATGCTTTACCCTCAGCGTAAAAAACGTTTATTACGGTACACCCATGAGGCATGTTGCCTCTTTTATACATCTTCTTTTGTGTAATGGCGATTTATATTTGCATATCACCACCTACTGGGCAGTTGTACAATCATGTTTTAATCTTATCCTGTTTTTCTCTTTCTCTGTTATTTGTGCCATACTTGAACTTTCTGAAGAACTGTTCACTTTTTTATTACTGTGAAGACTGATGTTGTTTCAATTGATTAATTAATCAAGAGTAATCTGGTAATAAAATTAGTTTTATTCACAGAACTGAAAATGTATTGTGTGTTCCAATAATCCTGGTGTAGTTTGTAAGTTTCACCTCACCTTATTCACACTCAGTTTTGTCTTCCAGCCAAACTCAGTGGTGCAAGCGTGTGCTCTGCTGACCGTCAGAGGAGATGAGACTGACGTTTACCGAGTCACTCTGATGGCCCATACAGATAAAAATACAGCTACATAGAATTCCATTCAAAATGTGTGCCATGATTTATTATTATATAATTCAATGTCACTGAATCCTGATATTTGTTTAAATCTAGTTGTAGAAGACATCCTTTTGATCACTATTGATTTTGTATAAGTTTGTGGCCTTTTTATGCTCTGTATTAGAGGTATATGTCATTTCTGAATTGCTTTCTCTGTAATGTGCTGTCAGTACACTGTGCAACAATAAATAGCAACGATGTACAAACCATTTACAAGGATGAACTTATTTTATATATATATATATTCCAAACATTCATTTTGCCATTAATTGTAATAATCCAGTGAGATTTTTGTTTGCCAGTGCTCCACACAGAGATCTGATCTGATCATCGTCCAGTCTGTCTGAAATGACATGAAGAAACAGAACAAACTGAGACAGACTAAATCCAGAAGAACTGTGGCCATGTCTCCAAGAAAATAATAATTTTCCCACATATTTATTTATTTATTGGGCAAAAACTTTATTAACATTATAAATAAACCTCAAGGAACATATAAGAAAATCCATGTCGTGGCCCCGGTTAAGGTGTAAGATTAAGTGTAGGTTGAGTTTAATAGGTAACTGTAGACAGGTTTGTTTAAAATATTAGTACAATGTAAAAACGTGCAGACACTAAGTGCATTGTAACAATTAGTGTTAATGATAAATCCCCAGTACATTTGAATACAGGGCACCAGTGGCAACGCTTTTGCAGATAAAGCCCCTCTTTGAATTGTGGCTTTGAATTTAATTAACAATAATAATAATAATAATAATGACCATCTTATTTATATAAAAAAATGATTAAATGCAAGTTTCCGTTGTCAATTTGTCAAATACGATTGTCAAAAAGAAAAGTTAAATATGATTCATCAGTTTCAGTTACTCCTGCCCACAATGCTTTACAACATACAGACGCAGGGCACCAGTGGCAAAGCTTTTGCAGATAAAGCCCCTCTTTGAATTGTGGCTTTGAATTTAATTAACAATAATAATAATGACCATCTTATTTATATAAAAAAATGATTAAATGCAAGTTTCCGTTGTCAATTTGTCAAATACGATTGTCAAAAAGAAAAGTTAAATATGATTCATCAGTTTCAGTTACTCCTGCCCACAATGCTTTACAACATACAGACGTAATAGTAACAACTGCACGTTTCAGTTTAATTTTAAAATGGCGAAGCAAATACCAATTAGTCAATACTTTAAAAAGCCTAAATTGGATACCAATTGTACTGCAGCAAGAAAGCAATTCTAGCAAGGAAACCAGACCACCTGTGGCTGCAAATGAACCTCAATCTCCTGCTAATGAGCCTGGGTGGGCGTCGCCATCAATTAAACATGGGGCATCTGCTAATGAACCAAAAGTGTCCATGTCAAATGATTCTGGAACTCCACCACCAGACCTGTCTGATCTGGACAAGCCACCCATGCAGCCAAAAATGCAACAATTTCCGATTATTACAATATTAGGTGAACCACAATATATATTTATCTTCACGATGGTATGAGAGATTCAGCCAGCGATGCAGTTTTCTGAAAACCCCCATGCACTTCCTTGAGCAAAGTGAAGCAAAATTTACACGGGATGGATTTAAAGATTGGAAACATCTAACTCAAGCATGTAAGAAACATCAGGATAGCAAAAGACATCTGCATTCAAAAACGAAACTAGCCGCTTGCAGACAAAGTCACCAGCCCAATGGAAGAGGTACAGTGTTTGATCAGCTAATGAGAGACAAAGTAAATGCATCATTTGTAGAAAGAAATCGAGAACAATATTAAAGTTGTCACCTTTATTTATATTGTGCTTTTAACAATACAGATTGTGTCAAAGCAACTTTACAATATTAAATAGGAAAACAGTGTGTAGATGCAAAAGGACAACAGTAAACATTCAATTTTCAGTTAAAGTCAGCTTAAAGTTCAAATAGTATCTGTGCAATCAAGTTGATGATATCGCTGGAAATTAAGGCCACATTCACACGAAGCCAGAGCTTTCCCTATCATATATTTTTTTCCCTCGTTCTTCCATATTCACGAAGTCATCTCAAGAAATATCTGCGTACACACGAAACCACTGAAACCAACTCAAACCAATGTAGTATATATGCCAGACCAGTATGTGGTGCTGTAATTCTGCCACAGAGATACACTAAAAATGGAGAAGAAGACTTCGAGCATGTGCGTAAACCTTACGCACTGTGTACAAACACAACAACAAGAAGACGAACATGGAACAATACATTTATTAATCTGTGTTAATGTTAGTTAATAAAAATACAGCCATTCATTGTTTGTTCATGTTGTTGTTGCTGTTACGTGACGTAGCAGTGTCTGACTAGGGTCGAGACGTGGGGTGATGACATCATCGTTTCACAAAATATATGGATTGGCTGTACACACGACAATGCAAAGGTGTCGTTTTCAGATTTATCCACCCTGGGACCAGGTTTAAAAAAAAACGTGTGGATGGGCCCTAAGTGTCCCCATCTAAGCAAGCCAGAGGAAACGGTAGCAAGGAACCAAAACGCCATCGGTGACAGAAATAGAGAAAAAAACCTTGGGAGAAACTAGGCTCAGTCGGGGGCGAGTTCTCCTTTGCCCAGACGAAACCAGCAGTTTAATTCCAGGCTGCAGCAAAGTCAGATTGTGCAGAGGAGTCATCTGGTTCCCATGGTCTTGTCTCAATGGCCATCTAGGTGACGAGGTCTTCGCTGGGGATCTGTCTCTGGGGCACATCTAGTTGACATGGTTTCCGCTGACATTCAGGGCTGTAGAGGTTGTCTCTTAAGTGCTGATCCACCATCTGGACTGGATACGGACTGGATCCAGGTGACTGCAGTGATGGATTTGAATAACAGAAATGTATTAGTGTGTTATGCGTAAACCAGGTTAAAGAGATGGGTCTTTGATCTAGATTTAAACTGACTGAGTGTGTCTGCCTCCCAAACAATGTTAGGTAGATTGTTCCAGAGTTTGGGTGCTAAATAGGAAAAGGAACTGCTGCCCGCAGTTGATTTTGATATTCTAGGTATTATCAAATGGCCAGAGTTTTGAGAATGCAGCGGACGTGAAGGACAATAATGCGATGAGCTCACTCAAGTACTGAGGAGCTAAATCATTCAGGGCTTTATAGGTAATTAGCAATATTTTGAAATGTATATGATGTTTAATAGGGAGGCAGGGCAGTGTTGACAGAACCAGGCTAATATGGTCATACTTCCTGGTTCTAGTAAGAACTCTAGCTGCTGCATTTTGGACCAGCTAAAAATGTGGTTTTACAAATGCTAGAAACATGGCTTTCGAAGGAAATATTGCTATCAAATAGCACACCTAGGTTCCTAACTGATGATAAAGAATTGACAGAGCAGCCATCCAGTGTTAGACAGTGTTCTAGGTCATTACACATTACATACTTTGGCGCAATAATAAAATAAAAATAATAAAATAAGATATTTTAATAATAATACAAAAAACAAAAAATGTTTTTTTGGAATTTAGCAGTAAGAAATTACTATTCATCCAGTTTTTTTATATCAACTATGCATTCCCTTAGTTTTGCAAATTGGTATGTTTTGTCAGGCCGCGAAGAAATATAGAGCTGAGTATCATCAGCATAACAGTGAAAGCCAACACCATATTTCATGATGATTTCACCGATTTCACCCATGTAAAGCTTGAAAAGCAACGGTCCTAGTACTGAGCCTTGAGGTACACCATACTGCTCTTACTGCTCTTCTGATACCTCTTCATTGATGACTGCTACAAATTGATGACGGTCAGATAAGTACGATTTGAACCATGCTAATGCACTTCCACTAATGCCAACAAAGTTTTCTAGT